ATTATTATTATTATTATTATTATTATTATTATTATTATTATTATTATTATTATTATTATTATTATTATTATTATTATTATTATTATTATTATTATTTTATTATTATTATTATTATTATTATTATTATTATTATTATTATTATTATTTATTATTATTATTATTATTATTATTATTATTATTATTATTATTATTATTATTATTATTTTATTATTATTATTAATTATTATTATTATTATTATTATTATTATTATTATTATTATTATTATTATTATTATTATTATTAATTACTGTTATTACATTGCTACTGCTATTATTTTTAATTATTATTATTACTATTATGATTATTATTAATTACTAATATTCTTCATCGACTGAAATGCTTTATTTTCGAATGGTTAAATTGCATCAATTTTTAAAATTGGATGAAAATTTTTTCGGTTACCATTTTAATCAATTATTTAAGAGGTTTAGGTTCCGATTAATTTAATGCATACAAATTATTAAATTTAAATTAAGTGGGAAATTTGCATTGTTATAAATAATATTTTATAGAGTTACGACATGTGCGCAAATATTGGCGCAAATTCAACATTTATTAGATGAATGGAATGAAGCTATTGTCTACAGTCTACCGTATGGTACAAATGAAACAATTGTTATGCAAAATGATAGATTATCATTATCAGAAATGGTAGCTAATTTTCATTTCAGCATTTAATTGATTAATTAAATTAAAAGAAGAAAAACGAAAAAAAAAGCTAACTTGAAGAAGGAAAGTAAAAAAAAATAATTATTCTGTAATAAATTAATAAAATTTTAAGCATAAGTTGAATGAATGCAATTGAAAATTAAAAAGGAAAACTGTAATTTATCATTTAATTTTGAATCGTATTAATGTGTAACACATTTCAATTTATCATATAATTAATGATAAATATCAAATATTTAAATATATATTTTGATTATTTATTAGTTCTAAAGGACACTTATTATTTATTAGGCCCTTATTAGATCTATAACTATATATTTGATTAAAAATTTCCACAAAATCCATTTAAATTAATTAATTTAATGCTTACACCTGATTTTTTTTTGCTTTTTTTTCTCTAACAAATTAAATTATTTTGATTTTGCAGGAAGAAATGGACAAGAATTGTAAATTAACAACAGCTGCATCAATTCAATTTGCATATTCACGTTTTGGAAATGTTCAATCATATTCACATCGTTTAATTTCATATAAAATTGAATTAAGCAAACCGGATATCATTGATTTAACAACATATCCTTATCAATATATATTTTTTAATTTTATAGTTTATTTTATTGATCAAACCATTCCACCAATTCAATTATTTGCAAAAATTCCAACCATTAATATAGCTTTACCATCAGATTTCTTTTATCCTTTTTTCACTGAAACATTCGTTTAATTTAAAATAAAAGGGGAAAAGCTCTTTATAAACATTTAAATGATAAAATAAATGAATTTTAGTTATTCACATAAAAGCTTGTATAAATTAATTTTTCAATTAGATGAATTGAAAGTTTCAAAAAAAAAAAAAGTTACAAAATAGACGAATGGAAAGTTTTGGAAAGGAAAAAAAAAAAGGAAATCCTAAATTTTTCTTACTTTATAACGTAATTTTTGATGCATAAAATTTTATTTTCAAAAAAAAAAACAAAATAAAAAGTAAAATCAAATGAATAAAATAAAATAAAAAAAACAAAAAAAGAACGGGTAGAACCAATAAAAATTGGAACTTAAACGAGTCCAAATCCTATATTATTTAAA